CGCAGAGGATTTCGTAGGGGAGAGGGCTAGACACTTTGCAGTGAAGAAGCGAGAAAGCTCGGAGAGATAGCCGTTTACTTTCGAACACAGGTCATCAATTCCATTCCCAGTCGGCATGATCGATTAATCGTCGGCGTAAGAGACAATTGAGACTCCCTCTGGTGGTTGAGGGAGCTTTGAAATATAAAAGATGAACAGTAGTGGGGAAAGGACACCACCCTGTGGAACCTCCTGTTTTATTTTTCTAAGTTTGCTCGATTTGTCTAAACATTACATACGAGTGTCGACCACTCAGATAATTTGTCGACCACCGTTTGAGCCTCTGTGGGAGATAGGAAGCCTCTATATCTTCTATTAGCGTGGAATGGCTGACAGTGTAAAAAGCCTTTGACAGGTCCAAGCTACTAGAACCGTTCTCTCACAGGGACGGTTACGGTTAAGGCCACGAATTATCTAAGTGTTTATGGCGTTAAGTGCTGTTTTTGTACTGTGCACTTTACGGAAACCATGCTGATGCTTCGCTGGGGTCAGGTGGTTCGTGAAATACGTGAGCAGCAGGGCCTCAAGTGTCTTCGCTACCGGGGAAAGGAGTGTTATCGGTCGATACGATTTCCCTTTGTCGGCAGGTTTCCCCGGTTTGAGCAGTGGGACCACTCTCTTCCAGATGTCTGGCATGATGAGAGTGGCCATAGAAAAATTGAGGACCTCCGTTAGGTACGCTACTCTCGCAGGACCCAAATTTTTCAGCATCAGCATGCATATTCCGTCGGGACCCATGGCTTTGGAAGCTTTCGCCTTCCCGAGGATGCAGTATGAACTGCCGGCTAAAATAGCTCGCGCATCGCACCGGGTCCGAAGAGGCATGGGCGCCGAAAGAAATTTCGACTCTGTCGTCGTGCTTCGTCAGATTGGACGATGACCTCACGGTCACACCGGAGGTGAAGTTACAGGTCTTCAGATGTTCTTCCCACTTCTTCCGCTTATGTACGTTCACTAGTTGCCGAATCTTTGCGTTGAGATCCCTGATACAGGGATCGTCGGGATCGGCCTGACAAAGGCTGTCACGCTCATCGGCTAGAACAGCCGCTTCGGCAGGGAAATTTGGACGTGACAGCCCTGCGGAACTTACGGTCACCAAGGTGGACGTCGGTTGGTGTGGGGAGAGCAGCGAAGGTGTTTTCAGTAAATTCCGTGAAGCCTTTCCAATCAGCTTTGGAGAAGTTGATATAGGTTCGGTGCTCCGCGGAAACAAAGTCGGTTGGTTTATCGATCGAGATGACTATGGGCAGATGGTCTGATGCCAAAGTCAGCATAGGTCGCCATGATATGCTGTTTATCAGACCACCGCTGACTATTGTTATGTCTGGCGAGCTGCAGCAGCTGCCCATAATCCTGGTGGGTGCGTCGTCGTTCATTGTGCAGAATGTCGAGTCGTCTATCTGCTCAGCCAAGTCGGTTCCCCTAAGATCGTTTCACAGGATTGAGTGCCAAAGATCGTGGTGCGCATTAAAGTCACCTACTACCATTCGGTTTTCACCTCTGAGGAGCGCACCTATATCAGGGTGACATCCTGCCGGGCAGCAGGTGACAGGCGGTATGTATACGTTGAATATTTCGAGCTCAACATCGCCTGACCGGATAGTAATGCCCTGACATTCTAGGGTGGTATCCCTGCGGTCGATGTCTGCTTCGATAAGACGATACTGCTCGACGTGGTGCGTGATGAACGCTAAGCCACCACCATTATCTCGCTCGCGATCTCTACGGTGCACGTTGTACCCGGTACAATTCAACAATGTTGAATTGCTGTACAACTTCGTCTCTTGGACCGCAGCTATCAATATACCATGCCTTCCCAAAAAGACGGTTATCTCCTCGATCTTGCTCTGAAGCCCGTTCCAGTTAAATTGAAGGAGCTTCATGTGGTTCGGGAGACGTGTGGTAATGCGGGGTGTGAGAGATGTGTGTGGCCGTGACGCCATTGGCTGTGTGCGCTGCAGAGGTGGTTGCCGCCCTGTGGTGGTAGTGGGTGGCGTCGCTGTTGAGGTTTGCGACCTTGCTGCGCAACGCGGGCCCTCGTAGTTCCTCGTCCAATCTCGCGTGGTGCGCAGACCTGAACATGCTCTAAAGTGGCACCAGCCAAGGCAGGTGTTGCACTTGACTGATGGCGCATTTAGGTACGTTCCGGTACCATCAAGGTATCGATACCTACTCAAGTGAGTTTACTCAAATCTCTATTTCGATACTCCTTATATGAGTGGACCGAATGTATCGATACCTACTTATATCGATAACGTTTCATCCTTTTATATGCACAAAGCGAAAGTAATTTTCAGGCGTTATCTGTGACATACCTTTTGCGACACCTGAGTGGCAGATCGACCTATCTCGGCAGCCAGATTGAAAACGCCCTATCTGAGAAAACTTTTCAAAAGCACCCTATTCCAGAATTTGATTGAAAAACGCCTTATATCATAAAACTTTTCAAGACCACCCTCTTTCAGAATTCGGTACAAAAACGCCCTATCTCAGCTGCCGATTCACAGCGCCCTTTCTCAAATAATTTCAATACATTTTCAGTTGAGGTATAGATATGTTTATTATTATTATATATTATTAGTAACATTTGAAGTAATACGATTACTTAGACAAAAAATTGAACCTTTGAAAGTTTCCCATAAAACGTTACGGCTACAAAGCATTGCTTGAGCTTTGTAAAAATATATCCCCACTTGGCGGTGCCATTGCTTTGATCAATTATTTTTCATAAAAGCGAAGCAATTATTTTCCATAGAAAAAATATGACCGAAAGATATGGCACTTCCTCAAATCGATTCGATACAAGTACTTTTATTTCGATACTAAGTAGGTATCGATAAAACGATTCAAGTAAAAAAAGTAGTTGGTATTGAAACAAAAGTATCGAGTACATACTCGTATTTACTTATATCGGAACATCCCTAGTCGCATTACGGAATATCCTGGTCTGACATAACGTGCAGATTGTAGGAGGAACCAAGAGTTATTGGCGACGGCGTGTGGGTGGTGGTGCGGTTGTGTCTGTTGTGTGGTCTGTCGTGGTTGTGGTGTGGTCTATTGTGTTGTGGTGCTGTGGTGTTTGTATTGGGCTGCTCAGGTGGACTGGGGTTAGCCGTGAAGACTGCTCTGTTTGAGCAGCAGGGGGCCACAAATGATGTGCTCCACTGCCGATGGATCCGTAGTCCTGAGCAGACTCTGAGGTGACACCACCCCTCGCAAGCATTGCACTTGACTGAGGTGGAGTTGTGGTGTAGTCGTCTCTGGCATACACAGCAGGTGTAGGTTTCTGGCCCTGGGTTTGACTCGATGCCAGCCCTGAGTAGAAGAAAACGTAGCGAATGTAGCCCTATGGACGAACAACTTCTGAGATACTTCTCCGACCTAAACGGGGTTAGATCGCCGAAACAACAGTCTTTGGTCGGGTAAAACCCGAGTCATTCCGGTACGTGGAATTCCGGCTGTCGTGGGAATGTAAACAGCGGGTACCCCAGGGTGGTGTCCTGTCCCCGCTACTGTTTAATTATTACATCTCTAAGCTCCCTCAACCACCACAGGGTGTCAATATTGTCTCTTATGCTGACGATAGTTCGATCATGGCGTCTGGGAATGGAATTGATGACTTGTCCTCGAAAGTAAACGGTTATCTCGCCGAACTTTCTCGCTTCTTCACTGCAAGGAGCCTTGCCCTATCCCCTGCGAAATCCTTGGCAACCCTATTCACCACCTGGACGAAGGAGGTCAGACTGCAACTGGGTATTCACGTTGATCGCGTAACAATACCAACGGTGAATAACACGAAAATTCTCGGAGTTACCTTCGACAGTCTGCTCTCCTTCTCGGTGCATACAACCGCAATTGCCAATGTCCTCAAGTCGCTGGCCGGCAGCACTTGGGGCAAAGATAAAGAAACGTTGTTGGCAACATACAAAGCAATTGGCCGTCCGGTTCTCAACTATGCAGCGCCCGTGTGGTCGCCGGGGACTAGCAGGACGCAGTGGATGAAGCTACATACCTGCCAAAACACGGCACTACGAACAGCGACCGGATGCCTCCTGATGACGCCCCAACACCACCTACATGACGAGGCCCAGATGCTCCCAGTCAAGGAGCATAACATAATGCTCTGCAATCATTTCCTTGTGGGGAGCCACAGACGTGGCTATCCCAGCAAACAACTGCTTGCAGAAGAGCCCTCGCCAAGGCACGTCAGGAGGCATCTCTACGAACTGACGGCCGAAATTCAGAGGTTCATTAAACAACCTCTGGACCCGTCATCCTACCGACAGGCCCTGAGCGGCATTCTCAGGGAATCAGTCTCGAATTATGTAGACTCCCGCCCTGGGCCGTTCCGGGCACACAACCACCGGACGTGGACGGGACAGAACTTTGTCTCCCTCGGGAGACCCGCACCACAATAGCCTAACTTCGCTCTGGCTATTGCAGCAGGCTCAACTCATACCTGAGCAGAATTAATGAGGATGTGCCCAACCAATGCCCGGCATATGGAGAGTCGCCACATGACTCTCGACACCTCTTCACATGCCCTGAGAACCCCACCCAGCTGAGGCCCCTGTCCTTATGGACAGACCCTGTGGAAGTCGCACACTTCCTGGGCTTCCCCTTAGCTGAAACAGAGAATAGCATTGACGGATGAACCGACCCGAGCGGGGCTTGGTAACCGCTACAACAACACAACAACCGGTTATGTATCAATATTTTTATTTTATTTTTTATTTATTTTAAAATGTCGAAAAATTTTATTTTAACCTCTTATATCTTCTTTACTTTTCGATTGCGCTAAGTATATTTATATAATTGAAATCATCGTAAAAAGAACTATCGATCTGCATTTTTAGTTTTTCCTTAGCTGAACGTTCAGGGTTATCTATATGTATGCCATAGTTTTATCCGACGTTTCTGAATAAATACTAATCAAATTCTTTAACTACGTTTTATCATAGAATACAATGCAAGTGGCATGGAGGGCACCAGTGGCAGAAGTGATTTTGATACTGCAGGCAAGCGTAAGTTTATCTCGAAAGCAATAAGTTCATAAATAAATATGGAATAGTCGTAAATTTAATGCATATGAGATATATATAATCATATTTACTTAATTAGCACAAACAGGTGCGCAACAAGGAGAACAAGAATTGGCAACGAAAATGCTTCAAATACAATCGAAACGCTTCTATTTGGATGTGAAACAAAACCGTCGTGGGCGTTTTATTAAAGTCGCCGAGGTCATTATATTATTTATGGCAATCTTTTTAAATCATTTCAATTAATTTTACGTATTTTTAGATTGGTGCCGATGGAAGACGTAGTCAAGTGTATTTGGCCTTATCAACTGCCGCTGAATTTCGTGATCATCTTTCAACATTTAGCGACTATTATGCATCTTTGGGTGAGTACAATATACATATACATTCATACATTAAATATGTACTTATTCTCACATATGAAAAATGCCTTCAAACTAAATAAATAGCTGCACTCACATTGAGGTAAATATCTTGCGAGCCTTAAGACGTTATATATGAGCGACATTAACAGATTCGTAATGAAAAAATGGTAGGAGAGTGTTACGGACCTCAAATGAAATGTGTTTCTATACGAGATTTGTAACTATTTTATATGATTTTAATATATTTTATTTATTTAAAGCCATTGAGCAACGAAAACGTATCAATCAATCTAATTTTAAAGTTCTGTTCGATTTCTAAAACACTTTCTTGAGATGTATGTATGACTCCTCCACTTTTTCTCTTGACAAAGTATAAATCTTAGGTGGGAAAATCTAATAAAGAAAAATAAATACGGGCGGAAGTCTACATAACTCGAGATTGATTCCCTGTGAAAGCCGTTCAGGGCCTGTCGGTAGGTTGACGGGTCCAGAGGTTGTTTTATAAACCTCTGGACTTCGTCCGTCAATTCGTAAAGATGCCTCCTGACGTGCCTTGGCGAGGGCTATTCTGCAAACAGCTGTCTGCTGGGATGGCCACGTCTGTGGCTCCCCGCAGGGAACTGCTTGCAGAGCATTATGTTATGCTTCTTGACTAGGAGCATCTGGGCCTCGTCATGTAGGTGGTGTTGGGGCGTCATCAGGAGGCATCCGGTCGCTGTTTGTAGTGCCGTGTTTTGGCAGGTCTGTAGCTTCATCCACTGCGTACTGCTAGTCCCCGGCGACCACACGGGCACTGCATAGTTGAGAACCGGCCGGCAAATTGATTTGTATGTTGCCAACAACGTTTCTTTACCTTTGCCCAAAGTGCTGCCGGCCTGCGACTTGAGGACATTGTTGCGGCTCTGTACTTTGTTGACAATTGCGGTTGTATGCGCCGAGAAGGAGAGCAGACTGTCGAAGGTAACTCCAAGGATTTTCGGGTTATTCACCGTTGGTATTGTTACGCGATCAATGTGAATACCCAGTTGCAGTCTGACCTCCTTCGTCCAGGTGGTGAATAGGGTTGCCGAGAATTTCGCAGGGGATAGGACAAGGCTCCTTGCAGTGAAGAAGCGAGAAAGTTCGGCGAGATAACCGTTTACTTTCGAGCACAAGTCATCAATTCCATCGAAATCCATCAAACGTTGCTCGATTCTAGGGCTACATCTGCTCCATCTGCGTTGTCCTCTGGTTCAGCTAAGGGAAGGCCCAGGAAGTGCACGACTTCAACAGGGGATGTCCATAGGACAGGGGCGTTAGCCCCGTCGGGTTTTGGGGGCATGCGAAGAAGTGCCGCCAGTCATGTGGCCACTCTCCGCATGCTGGGTACTGACTAGGCCAGAGCGAAGTTGGGCAATTGTGGTGCGGGTCTCCTGAGGCAGACAAAGTTCTGTCCCGTCCACGTCAGGTGGTTGTGTGCCCAGAACTGCATTCACAGTCGAAACCCGAAGTGCCGTGTTTTGTCTTGTCCGTAGCTTCGTCCACTGACTCCTACTAGTCCCTGGCAACCACACGGGCGCTGCATAATTAGGAACCGACCTGCCAATTACCTTGTATGTTGCCAACAACGTTTCTTTGTATTTTCCCTAAGTGCTACCGTCCAGCGACTTGAGGAGCTTGTTGCAGCTCTGTACTCTTTTGACAATTGCGGTTACATGCGCCGAGAAAGAGAGCAGACTGTCGAAGGTAACTCCGCGGTTTTTTTGGTTATTCACCGTCGGAATTGGTTCGCCATCGACGTGAATACCCAGCTGGAGTCTTACTTGATTCGTCCAGATGGTGAATAAGGTTGCCAAGGATTTTGTAGGGGCGAGGGCTAGTCCCCTTGGTGACAGCCGTTTACTTTCCAGTATAAATAATCAATTTAATTTCCAGACGCCATTGCCAACAGTCGTCAGCGTAAGAGACAATAGAGACTCCCTTTCCGTTCCTACGACAGCCGTTTCTACGTACGTTCCCACGACAGCCGGTTCTACGTACCGGAATGAATCGGGTTTTACCTGACCAAGGCTTTTATTTCGGCGATCTAACCCCGTTTAGGTCGGCGAAGTTGCTCGTCCATAGGGCTACATTCGCTACGTATTCTTCTACTCAGGGCTGGCATCGAGTCAAACCCAGGGCCAGAAATCTACACCTGCTGTGTTTGCCAGAGACGACTACACCACATCTCCACCTCAGTCAAGTGTAATGCCTGCGAGGGGTGGAGTCACCTTAGATTCTGCTCAGGACGTTGTACGTGGCCCCCTGCTGCTCAAACAGAGCAGCCTCCACGGCTAACCTCAGTCCACCTGAGCAGCCTCACAGTCACCACAGCACAACAACATAATAACACCACAGACCATACCACAGCCACAACAGACCACATAACACACATAACCGCACTACTACCCACACGCCGCCGCCAACAACTCCTGGTTCCTCCCACAATCTGCACGGTATGTCAGACCAGGATATTCCGTAATGTGACATCGGTCAAGTGTAACACCTGCCTTGGCTGGTGTCACTTTAGGGCGGGCTCAGGCCTGCGTACCACGCGGGATTGGACGAGGAACTTCGAGGGCCCGTGTTGCGCTGTTCGGTCTCAGACCTCAACTGCAACGCCTCCCGCCAACACAGGGCGGCAATCATCACGGCAGCGCACACAGCCAACGGCGGTAAGAACACACACATCCCTTACACCCCGCATCACGAAACGTCTCCCGAACGAAATGAAGCTCCTTCAATTTAACAGCAACGGGCTACAGAGCAAGATTGAGGAGATAACCGTCTTCATGTGTCGGCATGGTATATTGATAGCTGCGGTCCAAGAGACGAAGTTGCACAGCAATTCAACTTTGTTGAATTGTGCCGGGTACAACGTGCACCGTCGAGATCGCGAGCGAGATAATGGTGGTGTCCTATCAAGGCAGACATCGACCGCAGGGATACCACCCTAGAATGTCAGGGCATTGCTATCCGGTCAGGCGATGTTGAGCTCGAAATATTTAACATATACATACCCCCTGTCCCCTGCTGCCCGGCAGGATATCACCTTGATATAGGTGCACTCCTCAGAGGTGAAAACCTAATGGTAGTAGGTGACTTTAATGCGCACCACGATCTTTGGCACTCAAGCCTGTCAAACGATCGTAGGGGAACAGACTTGGCTGAGCATATAGACGATTCGACATTCTGCACAATGAACGCACCCACCAGGATTATGGGTAACTGCAGCAGCTCGCCAGACATCACCATAGTCAGTGCTGGTCTGATAAACAGCATAACATGGCGACCTATGCTGACTTTAGCATCAGACCATCTACCCATAGTCATCTCGATAGATAAACCAACCGACTTTGCCTCCGCTAAACACCGGACCTATATGAACTGAAAACACCTTCACTGCGCTTCCCACACCAACCGACGTCCATCTTGGTGAACGTAATTTCGGCAGGGCTGCACTGCTGCTGCAGCACGTTTCATACCGGCAGGGTGTATAACGGACCCACGTCCAAACTTCCCCGCCGAAGGGGCTTATTTAGCCGATAAGCGTGATAGACTTCGTCAGGCCGATCCTGGAGATCCCCGTATCAGGGATCTCAACGCAGAGATTCGGCAACTAGTAAACGTACATAAGTGGAAGAAGTGGGAAGAGCATCTGAAGACCAGTAACGTCACCTCTGGTGTGAGTAAGCTTTGGTCAACCATGAGGTCACTGTGCAATCCGACGATGCACGACGACAGAGTCGAAATTTCTTTCGGCGACCATGTTTCGTCGGACCCGGAGCGATGCGCGAGCTATTTTAGCCGGCAGTTCAGACTGCATCCTCCTCCGCACTCAGGACAGCGACAGGAGGCCTCCTGATGTCGCCCGAACATCACCTCCACAACGAGGCACAAATGCTCCCCATAAAGGAGCACAACATAATGCTCTGCAAGCAGTTCCTGATCGGGAGCCACAGAAGTGGCCACCCAAACAGACAGCTGCTAGCAGAGGAGCCCTCGCCTAGGCACGTCAGGAGGCATCTATATGAACTGACGGACGAAGTCCAGAGGTTCATCAAGTAACCTCTGGACCCGTCAGCTTACCGACTGGCCCTGAACGGCATTCACAGGGAGTCAGTCTCGAGTTATGTAGACCCTAGACCTGTGAATGCCGTTCTAGGCATACCGCCACCGGACATAGACGAGACGGAGCTTCATCTGCCTCGGGAGACACGAACGACAATAGCCCAACTCCGCTCTGGCTACTGCAAGAGGTTAAACTCCTACCTGAGTAGATTGAATGAGGATGTGCCAAATGAGTGTCCGGCATGCGGAGAGATCCCACATGACTCGAAACATCTCTTCGCATGCCCGGAAAACCCGACAACCCTAACGGCTTTGTCCTTGTGGACCGACCCGATAGAAGCTGCACGCTTCCTAGGGCTGCCGTTAGTGGAACTTGACGACAACGACTGAAATACCAACCGATCTGGGCGGGGTTGTTGTAGCCGCTACAACAACAACTACCTCTGGTGGTTGAGGGAGCTTTGAAATATACTAGTTAAACAATAGCGGGGATTGTTGTTGTTGTTGTAGCGGCACTACTAAGCCCCGCCTATTTCGGGTCAACATTTAATCATTGTCGTCAAGCTAAACTAACGGGAGGCCCAGGAAACGAGCTGTTTCAATGGGGTCGAACCATAGGGAGAGGGGTGTCAGTTGAATCGGATTGAGCTGGCATGTGAAGAGGTAGTTGGTGTCGTGAGGGGATTCTCCACATGCTGGGCACTCATTGGGGATATTGAGCCAGGGTAACGCGGGTCTCTCTTGGCAATTGAAGCTCAGTCTCTTCTACTGGTGGTGATTGGGCTCCGATTACGGAATTCATCATAGGTCGAGAGTCAAGGTAGGTGGTGACTGACTCTCTATGGATGTCGTTAATAGCTCGTCTTTATGTCGTCGGGTCCAGTGGTTGGTCTACGTATTGCTGGACTGCG